TACTTCTAGCCTTAAGCTTAAAAGATTATAATGTTCAAAATTATTTGTTATACATTTGTTTAAATTTTTTCCTCTTTTAACAACTGGGATCTAGAGGGAAGAGAAAAGACCAGAGAATGAATAGCCAAAATTATTGGGGCAGCTATTGCTGCCAGTTTAGGGCCTGTGTCAGGAAAAGGAAGTCTTACTCATATACAGTGCCACCCAAAGATAATAAAGGAGGTCAGAATTGCTTCCACTGTGGAAAGCTGGGCCACTTCAGTAGACAGTGTCACAGACGAGAGCCACAGATAGGCAACAGAGTAGAGAGGAAGCTCCCACTCACTTGCTTTAAGTGAGGATCTGAAGGACACTTGGCTAAGGGTGGCCCACATCAGGTCCTCGTGGCTGACAGGACTGACAGGCCCCAGCTCCCAGCTGGAAACAAAGGAGGACGCTTCAACCATTTAGATCCTCCCAGAAGAGCTGTGAGTGATCATTAACATTACTGGTAAGTATATTCATTTTCTCCTGGACACAGAGCCTACTAATTGCTCCTAAATGCCTTCTGAGGTCCCATCTCTTCTTACTATTTCTTAGTTGTTGGAATTGATGGAAAACCTCCTAAGCAGTTCCTTACTTCACCTCTGCCTTTCATGTAGACTTCCGAGTTGTAAAACAACCCAGTGGTAGATGGCATTTGCTCCAGGACTTAAGAACAGTAAATGACATAGCTGAGCCTCTACATCGTGTGATTCCTAACCTCTACACTATAATAGACAAAGTGCTAGTCAATAGGCTTTTTATTGTAAGAACCACCCTCCCTCTGTAACTTGATTTATGCCACTATTAGAACCTCTACTGGGAATACTATTGCTTTTTAATTTTTGACTCATGTACTTTTAACTTGTTAGTTAAATTTGTGTCTTCTAGGCTGCAACACTTCCATGATATGAACTTCAAGGATATGAACATGTACGGCTAAGCACAACTGATAACAGTGCATATAAATTCCAAAATCAATCTCCATAATAGTCTGTGTGTTTCCTACTGCCAAAGGAGCCCTTTAGAGTAGTGAGAGAAGATCTTCACTCTGAAACCTACAGCGTCCCTTATCAGCAGGAAGTAGCTAAGAGAATACCCCATCCCCTTTTCCTCATGAATCAAGGTGAAGTCTCTCTCAGGGAGGAGTGATAGGGAATGGCAAAGGACACACTGACAAAGGAGATTAATCAGAACTGGCTTTGACAAGCACTGTGGCAATTGGACAGTTAAAACAGACATTCAAGGTGGGGAAAAAAGAACAAACTGGGGAGGAGGATAGAGAAAATAGTGCAACAATGAATGAATGGAAATCCAAAGTCTCTGTAAATTTTCATTAAATTTATTAATAATAATAAAAAAAATCATTTCAGCCTACCAGTTGAGCATCAGTATGCTTGCCATTCTATGTATTTGTCCTTATAGCACTAACATAGCCTTACTTCATTGTACTCAAATCCAGATGGGTTTGCCTTTCTTACTGTACTATGGAATCTTTGAGGAGGTAGGCTCTTATTTGTATTCCCAGAACTTTTTACAGGGCTTATCACATGTGAAGAAAATAAATTAAAAAGTCAGACTAAATAAAAATTATTGGGTTTTGATAGAGGATAGTGCAGTATGGCAGAGAAGAAGAATGAGAGCGTTTGTGAAGCAATGAATTGCTGAAATCAGGTATGCTGAGATAGTCTAGTTTTTAATAACGTTGTTAGCATTTGTCTTCGTAGATTTAAAAAAAGGCAGCTTAGTATTGTCTATCTTAAAACTCAGAACCTCAAACTCACTTCCATCAAGTCATTTCCAACTCATAGCAACTGTCTACCAGGTTTAATGGGAAACCAATCTACTTGAAGAAGAATGTGGCATCAGAATTGGTGGATGACCACCTTACTTGCTGAAAGTAGAATTTGAAGGACTTACTGTAGACTAAAGTGCACCTGATTCAGGCAGTGGTCTTCATGCGATGCATCCAAAAGCTGTATAATGAATAAGGATGATAGAAGATCAAGTGATACCTTTGAGTTGTGGTGCTGTAGAATAATATTGGGCATGGACTGTGTAAAGAACAAATCGGTATGTCCTGGAGAGGGTGTGACCAGAGTGCTCCTCAGAAGCAAGGATGATGAAGCTTCGTCTTTCATACTTCAGACCTGTAGCTAGGTGAGGCTTTTCCTTGGAAAGATGGAAGGTCATTGAAGGAGGGGAAGACCCTCAGTGAGATGAATTGAGACTGTAACTTCAGCAATGGACTTTAGTGTCTTACAGATGATGAGTATGACACAGAATAGAGCACGTTTTAGGTTAGCTGTTCATAGGGTTAGTATATGTTGTTGTCTGCTCTACAGCACTTAACAAAAACTGAAGGTGAAAGACTCTAAACCTTTGCTACAGATACCCCCAACAGAAAAGAAACAAATTCTCACACCTGGACCTATAAGTATCCTCATGATGAATGGAGAAAAGATACATTTGGTTTGGGGCTTCATACCTAATAGTGGCTTATGTTGTTGTGTTTGGTTGCCTTCCAGCCAAGCACATCTCATAGTGATCCTATGAACAAAAGGCCTGAAGCCCCTCTAAAACCATCAACATTTATCAAAGTTAATAGAGTTTGTGGAGGCTTGTTGTTTAGGTTATTGTTGTTATGTGCCATTGAGTCCCCTGCGATGTATAGTGACCCTGCGTACAGCAGCTCTGAACTCGTCCCTGTCCTGAGCCAGTCTCACTAATTATAACACACCAACCCCATGGCCCCAGTTACTGTATCAGTCCATCTCACCCAGGGTCTCCCTCTCCTATGCTGTTCGTCCACCCTTCAAAGCATGATGTCCTTCTCCAAGGACTGATATCTCCTGGCCACATGTCCAAAGTAAGTGAAGCCTCCAAATCCACCTTCTCCAAAACAGACCTATTTGATTTTTTTGGCAGTCCATGATATGTTCAAGACTCTTCTCCAGCACCACAACTCAATTTCATATATATATATATTTTTTTTTTCTCATTGAGGAATGCGTGTTTTGTGAAAGTTACTTGTGGTGGTAGTTACAAGTTGATTTTTCTAGCCATTACATTAGCTCCCCACTGGTCTCCAGCTACCTTAACTGTAGACACATGGTCTTGCAAATCCTCAACAGCTGTGTGACTAGATTAAGAGATTGCTTCCTGCATGGAGTAGCAAGACTTGAGGGAACCTATAGCAAGACCCTGGTGAGGGTGAGACCCTGGTGATGGTGGTGGAGATACGACGGCATTGCTGTAGGGAAACTGTGATAGCGTGTAACCAGAGGAGCCCTGAGATAAAGGCCACAGTTAAAGGGTTTTCTGTTCTTGCTGGATGATTGAAGGAGAAGCTGACTTATAATAACTGCTGAGGCAAACCTTGCTGAATGATTTAGATTTGACTGCTGAACTGAAACCAGGGCTTTTACTAATTAAGGAATTATGTTTTGCTTTTAATCTGGCTTGGGACTGCTGGACTGTACCTGGACCTGTATTGTGAGACATTCTTTGCCTCTCCCACTCCCCAATGTATTTCCCTAATAAAACCCACTCTTGGTACTCTGGCTGTGAGTAAAGTTTGTGACTCAATAATGAATATTAAACTCACATAACTGGTAACTGGTAGAAATAGGTGCAGGAGCATGGGGGGGGGGGGTGTGGCATGTCTGACCTAACAGCTATCTGTTTGTTGCTATGGATATTATTTATGGAGAAAGTTCTTCTTTATGAAGTGGGTAGAAGTCAGACTCTGCCACCTCCATATAGTATCGGCTTTTTTTACATTACCTTATTTAGAATTGTTCCTTCATTTTCTTTTATTCAAAAACTACTATATTCTGGTTCAAAAGGATTTTAAGTTGACAAGTTGGAGAAGCCACCTCAGTATTATCTCTGCTTAAAACAATAATGTGATAGTTAAAATTGGACTTTTTCTGCAGATCTGGTATACTACCTAAAGTGTTTTTGTGTGTTCCTATATGTGTGTCTTTAATTTTTGTCCTAAAAAAAATACTTCTATTTAAAAAAAAAATTGTTATTGAGTCATAATGAATTCATAGCTGATCATTGCCCAGGAGGAGATGCCCACTTTTCTTTAGGTGGATTGGATCCTCCAGAGAGCCGTGGCCTTTGGTTTAGCAGTTCTTTTCACTATGGATTAGGTCATCAGTGCTCCCTTTATTTACTATTAGTTGCTTAAAACAAATCTCATGGTGTAATGTGTATTGATGTTATAGTCTTTGGTTTATAATATTTATCTGATTAAAGAAAAGTTATAAATCATTCTCTTTATGCCTATGATATGGCAATGGTGATTAAAAAATAATAACCAATAATTCTTGATTTAGTAGACACTAGGCCAAGTATGCTGCATGTGTGCCAGATACGAGGCATTTTGCAAACAGTACGTCTGTCTTTGCAATAACTCAGTGGAGTAAACTGAGGCATGGATAAGTTATTTGCCCAAAGTAACATGGTGATGCAAAAACGTAGACAGCCCCTTGCACAGTTTCACTTCTGGAATCATTGATTGATCGAATTCTGTGCTGAGAAATCCAGAGAAGATAAGTCTGGGGGAGGAGAGCCTTCTCAAATCATTGCCCCTCCTCCTTGCTTCTATACTGGAATCATCTGGAGAACTTTAAAAATGACTGAATCCTACTTCTGGAGATCTTTATTCATTTAAGACCTATTCTGGGCTCCGCCCCCCCCCCATATAATATCTAGTCTAGTATTTTTACAGTCTTTTAATATGTAGGTCACACTGCCAAAAATATTTATTGATGATGAAGTTGGTGATATCACTGGTAAAATTCACTTCTTCATGCTTATCTGACTATTACAGGAGCAAGACTAGTTAAGTATGTGTTTAAAAGTGAGAGCATTTACTTCCAGAAATTTACGTAGTCAGGTGATTCAATTTGTAACTATGGTTTCACATATCTTTCTTTTTAAATACAGATAGAGCCCCTGGTTATCTTGAAAAGGAGACCAAAGGCAAAAGTAAAAGTATTCAGCCAGAGAAGCAACCAACTATGCATTCTGTGGAAAGCCTGCATCAGAAATCCAACAATTTAGTTCATGAAGAAACTTATGAGGACACAGACCTGCCAGGATGGAGTGCAAGGGCTTTTCAGGTCATCGGTCCTTATCCTGATGATGACACAGCTTATTGCACTACTCAGAATGACAAGTGAGTGTTAGCAGGCTTTAGAAAGAAAAAAAAACCAAGAAAATGTTATCTTTGTTACTGACTGATTTCTTTTGTGGTCACTAAATTGGACATATTATGAACTTAATAGAATTTGGGATTCCAAATTGCCAGCCTATCCTCAACATTAGTATAATTAGCTAGGATAGCTGAGTGAGAAAGCACAAGGGAATTTGTATGAAGACCATTAGGTTTTACTAATTTCTTGCTAAATATTCTTTTAGGTGATCTTTCATTGTAGTTGTTGTTATGTGCTGTCGAGTCACCTGTGACTTGTAGCGACCCTATGTTCAACACCCTAAGTCCTGCTCTCTCCTGTGCCAACCTTACTGTCTCTGACACACTACCCCCCATTACCCCAATAACTGAATCAATCCATCTCATCAAGGGTCTTCCTCTCCTCCGCTGTCCCTCCACCCTCCCAAGCATGACATCCTTATCCAAGGCCTGGTTTCTCCTTACACCATGTTCAAAGTGTGTCAAATGAAGTTTCAGAATGCTTACCTCCAAGGAACAGCCTGGTCTCACCCTCTCTAGGATCTTTCATAAGGATTGTGATAATTCTAAATTCATTTAAATAAGGCATTATTCATCAGAGTTTAAAGATCGGCAGCCACAGGACAATTAAACTAAGCATATGTTTTGATTTGGGTTAGCCCAGGTTATTCTTTTAATTTGAATGCTTTTATAAGAACCTAGTACTTGTCTTCATGGTAACTTTACATTCTACAGCTTTTTACTCATTTACCTTACATAACTATCCCATGAAGGGCTTTGAATTTTTGATACTTTTACTTGTGGGATTAAAATCTTTTGGTAATTAGATATGTGCTCTGAAACATTAGATTTTTAAAAGTTCAAAGAGTGAAAGTGATTATATTTCACTTTAGGCAAAATTGTATTTTATAGAATAATGCTTATTGTTTTGTTTTTGTGGGGGTTTTTTCCTATATAATACTGTTTTGGCCCAGTTTTGCAGTAGAACAATTGTTTAATTTACTTATAAGTTCAATTCTTAATTCATCTGCTTTTAGTGCATATAAAAATCCTAACGTGGATATATTGTGCTCCTACCTCTTTAGTACAGGCTGAGGTAAGTATAGAGGGCATAAACATTTTATAGCCAGATTGGAAAAATAAATAATAATAGAATTTGGGCCAAAGCCAAGACATACAATATCTAGCATATTTACATCAGAAGATATAGGAGGTAGGTAGAGCTGCATTGACTCTCCCAGACTTCACTGCTTTCTTTATTCTTAGTAACTCTGAGATTAAACCTATGCCAAGAGATTTAACTTAATGCCTTAAAAATAAAGAAACCTGTTTTCTTTACTTTCCCTTATGCCACTTGGTAGCAAGCTGATGATTCTCTCAAATAGCTTACAAAAGGTCTAAAAATATTTTTATTTTAATTTATTCTTAAATATTACAGGAATTAGTCTTTATTTTTGTTGTTGGAAGTTTATAAGGAAAATATGCCAACAGAATTGAAAATGTCCTTATCCTTGTCCCATGTAAAAAACAAACAAAAAAAAACCCTCCCCCACCACAGAAAACTAAAAAAAGACAAATTCAAAGAACTCTATTTATTATCCTGACTATGAATATAAACTGAATTAAACACAGACTCTGAATCAGTTATTTAAGTATACTGAACTGTGTCTCATTGTAGCATTACTATTTTACATGATTGGCGATCTTTCAGTTCATAATCACAGTATTTCTCCATGAAATTAATTTGGCTAGGCTTCTTATCCATATTATTTTTAAAGTATGTATAATTGGATAAATTTATATTGGATATATTTATATGTTTATTGTAAAAATCAGTTTTATGTATAAAAATTGTAGATAATTATAGATAGTATGCATTAGAAAACATATGTATATAATAGTTTTCTTTATTACAGCACCATGGAACCTAATTTACATTGTGAATGTCTGAGTCCTCGACATGTTTCTTCAGATTTAAATAAAGAGAAAACAATAGCCTCTCTTCTACAAGAACTGAACATTCTCAGAGCAAGCAATAAAAAGGTACAAGATAGAAAGCTTGGAAAATGATACAGTGTGATTTTAGTTGTTGACCTGATAAATTTGCTTTCTTGTCCATCATAATTCAGTTTTATTATGTACTTTAAGATTTTTAATAGTCAGTTTATATCTCTGCCTTTTGGTCTCGCATGGTCTGGTTCAGTTTAAGAGCTACCCTACCGTGTGTGTGGTTTCCTGCTTTGTTGGTTTCTGGTATATCTTTCTTCTTAGTAAGTCTATAACATTCTGGGTACCTTAAAAAAAAAAAAAAAGAAAGGAAAGTTTATTCACCTTTTACTGTATGTATTTCTTTCAGAATTATAGATAAATAAATATATAATGCATTGATCTTATATTACTTTTATTCTTTCATATTTTTAGTGTCTGTGACTGGTGTTTCACCTCAATATTAAACTTTAAAATACCATGATGTGACAATATTGTTCTCTACCTTATTTTATTATTTTACCTAATCCAAATCAGGCTTGTCATAACACATTTTATCTTCTTTTCTGCCTAGTTTCTACATCTCTTCTTCAGAGTATAACTTTGTTTCATGTGGATTTAGTATATATTTTTTTATAAACTACTTACTTTTCTGATTTTAATAGAAAATGACTCACTTGACTGAATCAAACAGCATAATGCTAAAAATTTGAGCTGCCAGAAAACAAAATAAATGACAGAAACCTAGAGAGTAAGTTAAAAAAGATATTGGAGGGATTTTTTATGAGGACATAAGATAATTTCCATTTTTCATTTAGCAATTATTTATATTAGATGTATCTTATGTGTTAAGTGCCAATGTCAGTTAAGATGGAATGCAATGGAATAATATTTTCAAGGGAAGATTTGCATCAAATATTAAGATTATATCTTACCTTTGTTTAAAATATTTGAATTACCAAACAAAGATGTAAAACTATGCTATTCATTATTTTATTTTTAGTGCCTTCCAAATCTTTTGCTTTAAGAAAATAATAGATGAAGTAACTACTCTGTTGTTCTTATTTTAGTAATAATAGTTCTCCTTTCTTGAAAGTATTTTAAGGTTCTAAGTATTTCATGAAATAAAGATTATACAGACAAAAAATAAAAAATAATTTTATTATAAGACTAGAGTGTGTAGGTAGGCAACTGAATTTTTTTTTTTGTTAAATGTATTTTGTCAATAGGATATAGCAATATAAGAAACAGTTTTCCCCTGGTATGCATTTTGTTTGTGCAGTTAACAATCTGATTTTAAAAAACTGTTTTTCAGCTTAAAGAAAAATTGACTAAAGAAGAAAAGGAACAGAGAAAATTAAAACTTCAGCTGGATCTTCAAGAGAAAACATCAGAAGCTAAAATTGCTGAAAAGACTGCAGGTATAGTAAATTACGTATAACCTTAAGAATCAAGCATGAGATTGTTATATGATGTGGCTTGTTGAGTACTAGCTTATTTACCAAAGGAGGGGACCATCTCTCTCTTCCCCACCTCCTTTTTTTTTTTTTTTTTGGCTGCATAGAAAATAGGTGGCTTTAACATCCTGGTACTGGTATTAGTGAGAGCTTTACCTGTATTCATACTGATTTGGGCATTAAATGCATTGTTAACACCATGTCAATCCAATCACAAAAAGGTTGTTTGTTTTGTTGGAAGGGCCTGAACAAACAAGGGGAAATAATGATTACCAGTGCCTCTACCTTTCAACCAGCAGTTCAAATACCACTTATTGTTTTAGCTTATTCAGAGAAAATACTTTTCCTTTGTATGAAGCTAATCATAGATTCATTGCAAAAGAAAACGAATATTAAAAAACCTACTTTGTTCAATTAATAAATTTTAATCTGATGATGTGAATATTAATAGAGATAATGTTTTCCCTGAGAATCTTAAAAGATTGCCAAAGTTTAAGATTATAAACGACTACCTTAAATATATTTTTGAGCCTGTCTTTACTCACAAGCCTTTCCAAGGATAAAGTTTTTTTTAAAATATATCTGATATAATAAATATTATCAGATGATTCTCAAGAGTCTTTGATTTTCATATGTACATAAGTAATTTTAACTCTTCACATTGTTTTAGTTTATTAAGGAAACAGAAATTTCAAAGACTTAAGACGTTAGGATTCAGAGACATTTTGGAAAGCACTTATTTCTTAGCATTTTTATCTGTTGGAGTTTTTTATAGAACAGTTATATTTTGTGATTAGCCTCAGATGATGATAATGCTGTATAAGCTGTTTAACCTGATTCATATGTGCAAGAATTCTGTCAGTTTACATAAATGGTATGATTAAGAGGTGTAGCCTATCTTGAAATTATTACTATTAGAAACAAAACTTAGATGATTATGAAAATATTATCAGCAACATAACTATAAATATAAAAACTCCAATAAAAATAAGATTTGTGTTATTGTTGCTGTTGTTATGTACTAATCCATAGCTGACCCTCTGGTGGGTTTTCAGAGGCAGTTAATTGCCTGGGAGGAGATTGTTCATCCTTCTCCAGCCGAGCAGCTGGTCAGTCACCTTGAACTGTGTGCCTTCAGAATTGTAGCTCAGCTTCTTGCCACTAGGCACAAGAGCTCTAAGTTCTGTTAACATTAAACTACAATGATTTTCCCCCCTTAAAATAATAGGAGAATTACATATTTAAAGGGAGCTCTGGTGGTTTGGTGGCAAAGAATTGCACTGCCAGCCCAAAGGCAGGTGGTTCAAATCCATCAACTGTCCATGGGAGAAAGATGGACAGTCTCTTCCTAAGCAGTTTACAGCTTCTGAAGACCCAATGGAGGATCAGCTATGAGTGAGTTCTGACTTGGTGGCATACAACAACAATAAATATATTTTAACAAAACTGATAATATGTTGAAAATTAGTAATTCAGATATAAATTAAGAATTGTAAAGTGCCTTGGCTTTGTATTACCATATGATACAAATGGTTATTAACTAAAGAGATGATATCACAAGTACATTTGTTTTGATGTGTTTGCATTGTCATCTAACTTTGAGCAAATGTGATCATTAATACTGTTGAAACAGTACTTCAGTACAATACTTTTATTGTTAAAATAGTGTCTCAGTGTTGTGATTGAAAGATCTTTAGTATGCTTTTTAGTCTCCTAGAAACTGAACGAAAAATTCAAGCCTTGATTTGCAATACTTAAAGATACTGTGAGGAAAATCTTGAACAATCCAGTAGTCATCAAAAGAAGGTGGGAGGAATACACAGGTGGGAGGAATTGCTGTACCAAAAGGAATCAGCTGACACAGAACCATTTCAGGAAGTAACATATAATCAAGAATCAATAGTAATAAAGGAAGAAGTTTAAAATACTCTGAAAAAGTTGGCAAAAAATAAGGCTTCAGGAATTGAAGGAATACCAATTGGCATATTTTAATAAATAGATGAAGCCCTAGATATGCTCACCAGGTTGTACTGTGAAATCTGGAGAACAGCTACTTGGACGAATGACTGGAAGAGGTCCATATTTATTCCCATTCCCAAACTCCAAAACAATGTGAAAATTATAGAACAATATCACATACAAGCAAAATTTTGCTGAAGATTATTTAAAAATGACTACAACAGTACATCAGTAGAGTACTGCCAGAAACATTAACTGGTTAAAGAAGAGGTTGCAACACTAGAGATATTATTGCTGATATCAGATGGATCTTAGTTGAAAGCAGAGAGTACCAAAATTATATCTATTTGTGTTTTATCACCTAAGGGAATATGTCTGTGTAGATTACAACAAATCGTAGCGAACATTGAGAAGAATGGAAATCCCAGAGCTCACGCAAAACCTATACCTTGACCAAGAAACTGTTGCCCAAACAGAGCAAGAGAACACTGAATAGTTCAAAATCCAGAAAGGAGTGCATCAAAGGTGTATCCTTTCAACATACCTTTGCAGTCTATATGTGGAACAGATAATTCAAAAGGCTGCACTTTATGGAGAAGAATGTGGAATCAGGTTTGGAGTAAGACTCCTCAACAGCCTGCATTGTGCAGATGACACAACTTTGCTGAAACTGAGAAGAGCTTGAAGCATTTGTGTCAGAGGGTTAAGAACTTAAATATGGATTGCATTCTCAACATTGTTGTTATGTGCCGTCGAGTAGCTTGTAACTCATAGCGACCCTATGTACAACAGCCCTAAACTCTGCTCTTTCCTGTGCCAATGTCACTGTCTCCTACACATCCACCCTGATTATCCCAGTCACTGAATCAATCCACCTCATAGAGGGACATTCTCTCCTGCTCTGTCCCTCCACACTCCCAAGCATGATGTCCCTCTCCAAGGACCTGTCCCTCCTTACAACATGTCCGAAGTATGTTAGAGCCTCAGAATCCTTGCCTCCAAGGAGCCGCCTGGTTTAACCCTTTCTAGGATGAATCTTTGTTTTCCTAGCAGTCCATGGTACTCTCAATGCTCTTCTCCAGCACCACAGTTCAAAGGCATCAATTCTCCTTCTGTCCTCCTTAGCCATTGTCCAACTCTCTGATGCATAACAAGTGATTTCAAAGACCGTGGCCTGTATCACATGCACCTTAGTCTCCAGAGAGACACCATTGCTCTTCAGTACTTTGGAGAGTTCTCTAACAGCAGACTTTCCCATGGCAATATGTCTTTTAATTTCCTGGCTACTGGCCCAAGAGTGTTAACTGTGGAGCCAAGCAAACTAAAGCTGTGAACAATCTCAATCTCTTCACCATCCATCATGATGCTGCCAATTGGTCCAGTGGTGAGAATCTTTGTCTTCTTGACATTGAGCCTCAATCCATATTGAAGGCT